ACCCCAAAACCCCAAAACCCCAAAACCCCTTTTATTTTGCATATTGAAGTTAAACTTTAAATGCTATTATGCTTCGATATTCCCGTTTACCTCCTACCTCTCTTCCGATTCTTACTTCTCTTTTGTTGAGAAGGAGTCATGAATTCGTCTGAAGCAAAGACTTATTCAGGTTTTACGAAGAAGCCATCCTCGTCAAGTTTTGGCTTAGGCCTACCTTTCTTCTTCTTCCTTTTAGATGTTGTTTTTGTATAAGGTTTAGCCACAATTATAGGAACCTTGTCTTGGCCTTTTGATTGCTTTTGGTTTAAAGCTGGGAAATGTTTATCACATGAATTCTCTGAAGCAATCATAAAGTCTTTCCAAATGTTAGTTTCTGAGTTTTCTTTCCCTGTCTCCTCTAATGGAGGAGAGGCTTGCCTCTTCTTCTCCTCTTTCTCTTGCCAAGGAAGGGAACTTTCCTGGTCAGCTTTGATTTCCTTTCCATCTAAAGTGAACCAGGTGTCTTCATTCAGAGCCTTGTTGGTGTCCCAGACTGGGATTTGTTTAGATTTTGTGTTCAAGTTCACCGTTATGTTATTTTTAAGATAGTATTCATGCTTCTTTTGGGCGATAAGTTTGGCCTTTTCCATATATTTCCTTTCTTGTTCAATCTTTCGCTTACGATAATCCTCTTTCAACCTGATTTGTGGTTCAAAATGCTCGTATGTCTTTGAAGTGACTAGTTTGGAGAGCTCAAGTTCGATGAATTTAAATTCTGCAGAGATCCCTAAATGAGAAATAGGCTTATATTTTACTCTTAAGGCTTCAGTCATGTTGTATTCTTCAATTTCAAGGATTTTTGAAGTTATTTTAAGAGGCAGGTTTTCATAACTTCCATATTCTTTTGTTAAAATCCGCATTCAGAGAGGGTCAAGGAAGGTATTTGTCTCATCCTCCATTTGATAGAAATAGTAATTTCCTTTTGATTCTCTTACTGCTTTTTCAAACTTATCTCTCTTCTGTGTGTCTGCTAATCACTGGTACTTATCTTCATTTTGGGAAAAATTAGAGTTTTGGATATCGAAATTTTTGCCTAGATCTGAGTCTTCCGATTGGTTTATTTCATCCAATTTTGTCTCTTCAAAAGCTTTCTTTTGAGCAATTTCCTCTAGCTCTTGATCCAGTTTTACTTGTAGAGTTTCTATCATCTCAAGTCCTTGCTGGCAAAGGTCAACTTCTAGGGTATCTCCGAGGTTTTCCCAATCTTTACAACTTTCTATGAGTTGATGTTTATATTCATTAAAAATGTTTCCAAAATCTTGTCAGACACGGATCCTGGTTATGTTATAGGCATCAGAATCATGGTAAGGTACCTCAAGGTTCTCAAATTTAGAGGTCTGAGGGATTTTGGTATCAATGTTCTCGAAATATTTTACTACGTTGGACTCTTTGCCCCTGAAAACTAACTTAAATGTTCTCATTTGGTTCTCTTCTGGAGGAGGTTTTATACATACTTTAGCGAATTTCAATGTCTTTTTGAACACTATTTCTTCGCAAAGAGGGCATTTTCGGAATTCCTCTCCCTCATTCTCTGATGCATGTAGGAAATAGTGAAGGATGCAGGGATATCAAAAAATGTGCCCTCATTGGCTAATCATTGGGACGACCATACTTTCTTCTCGGCATATAGGGCAGAGATAGTCTGTATTTCTTTTTGCAATTACCATAAATATTTCATCCCATTCAACTTTGTAGTCAGGATCGTATGTTGCAAAGAAATAGTCTTGGTCTTTATTAGGTTTTAGTACAAATCTATGATTAGCCTGAACATGTTGAGCAATTGAAAATTTAGAATTTCTACCATTCTCTTTATTTCAAGGTGTTTCTGTGAAATGCATTAAGTCGAGTTCATTAATATTATACCCGCTATCTTGATCAAAAGGAGAGGTTTCTTGTTGTCCAAATCCAAGAATCTCGCTTGTATTGCTTGCTTTCTCCCATTTGATTCCTCTTCCCTTCTTTCGACCACCTTTTGTTCTCCTCTTCTCAAAACTTTCTGTCTTTCTGAGAGGTTCAATATTATTAAGTCTTGGCTCATTCATGACTTGAGCTTCTTCTCGTGGTAACTTCAAAGAATGAACTCTATTCGACTTGCCAAACTCTGTTGTATAAATCTCTTCATTAGCATATCCTAACCTATAAATCTGGGTGGGTCTTACCTTCCGAAATGGGCGGGCCAGATGTGTCCATCTGCTGATTGGGGGTATACATTTGCGATAAATTTAATAGTGATTACATTTCCTCAATATTTTTTTACTAAAAAGGGGTTTTGGGGTTTTGGGGTTTTGGGGTTTTGGGGTTTTGGG